GATCAGCGATAACGGCTATAGGTTTTTTTGGAATCGGCATCTAATCGACGGTTTACTTGCCCTGTCGGTAGGCGGAGTTGCTAAGGGAGTCTGTGAGCAATGGGTGACTCCGATCATTCACGGTTACGTATTTTTCCGACACTGCAAATCACCAGACATCCAGCTACTGTTGATCAGCCGCCGCAGTGTTCATCGGGCGGGGACACGATACATCAAGCGCGGCATCGACAACCAGGGTCACTGTGCGAACTACGTAGAAAGCGAGCAGATAGTAGTAGCTTTCAAGCACTTTTCATCGTTTGTACTCGTGCGCGCATCCGTTCCTGCTTTCTGGAGTCAGCCTGGCTACAAGTACCGACCTCCACCGGTGATAACAATGCCAAGGCCTGACAACGTATCCGCGTTCAAGAAGCACCTCGAACATGAACTGAACGTCTACCGCCATTTGGTAATCGTGGACCTAGTCGAACAGAGTGGTAAGGAAAAGGTGCTTAGCGACATTTATTTGGATCTGGTGCTAGAAGCAGACCGACCGGACGTCACCTACGTCGCGTTTGATTTCAACGCCTACTGTCGTGGCCTTCGTTTCGACAATGTGCGCATCTTGACTAGTTTTCTCAGAGATGTTCTCGATAACATGAAATTCTGCTGGGTAGACAAGAATCATGAAGTGGTGTGCCAACAGAACAGCGTTGCCAGGGTCAACTGTGTTGATTGTTTGGTAAGTGACTACTGTTTGTCGTACCAGTGGGTCAAAAAATACGTCTTGCCTGGTTAGCTTAGTTATTGACTACTAAAATGACTTCTGGCGGAAGATCTAATTTTTTTTGAAGAGGGCTATTTTGTTTTTAGGTGTGCTGACATGAGGAAATTTTAGTCCTAGAAGTGAAGAACTTGACTTAGTTGTCATAGTCATCGTTGGAGATAGTACTTGGATAGCAGATAGTTCTAAATAAATACTTCATGTTTCTCCTCTGGGCCCATAGTTATATACAGTTGTTTGAATGATTCGTGGTTCGGACCACTAAATACAACATATGGTACAATAGTTTACTGCAAACACCTTTCGCTGCGTAGACCGCAGTATCACATGAGCTGGAGTAGAAATGACTGCTTTAAAGCATTTATGTACAGCAAGCGAACAGTACCAATTTTTCATTTGGCTCATCACATACAGTCAAAATGTTGTTAAGCTGTCTCAACAAAGTATAATGTTCACATCAAAATAAGTAGGATCTTTGGCATTTTGCGTATCAGTTTTGTGATTGTGCCCTTCCTTCAGATTTCTGAGTTCAGGATTATTCATCAGCGGTGTCATGGCATTTCTATATGTAGAAAATTGGCAGTCAGGTCAGTGTCAGCATTGGGCAAAAATATTAGATATTTTTTCCGTTTAGAATACCAGTGCACTTTAATTACTGTTCCTTGAATGACGTAGAGGTAAATGAACGGTAAGGCTAATTCGACCATAGAGTGTTTAGTTCCTGCATTGGTAATCACTCTGAAATACAGCGTTTATTAATACACTTGCAAAGAATTGCTCTGTCACATGGTAGACCAATTTCGGCACGTCACGGGTTTTCTGAGTAAAAGTGATCATGGTTTATGTTGAAATTGTTTCAGCAGCGGGTTCATCGAGACAGGTTGTTTGGTCTTAGTCAATGTTGCCCCCGATGATACACATTAGATTGACTAACCTGCTTTTAATCTGATCCACTTTTCAGGATCGAACAAATCTCGTGCAAAGTGCGATCGCCAGATACGTTTTTGAAATCACTTTGCGTAAGTTTGGTTTGATCGCTCCAGAAGAAGGTCTTAGTTCAGAGGTAGAAAATGTATTTCGAGTTATGTGGGCGAACAACGGCGATTACATTAGTCGACAGTACACGGGGACAGTTGCGTTAAAAGGCGACTTTACAAGAACCGGGGAACGCCGCATTGTTGGACTGATGAAGGACGGCTATCATTCCGCAAATCGATACTACATGTGCCACATGAAAGATGCCAAGAGACAGCTGGCTATTGACTGTCTGCTGGCAAAGGCTACCATGCCGTCAGCAGTCACGGAGCTGACGACAACGACATTACGCGAGAATGGTGGAAATGAGTGGATGCTACCTAGCCAGGAGCAGATCAGATTGCTGGTGCAAGATTGCGAGAAGCTGTTAGTCACCGACGATGAAGTGATTGTCGGCAGTTGGGCGCTGATAGACGTTTCGAAGTGTCCTCGCTGGAGTGCTGACCAGGACTTGGAGAGCGAAATGGACACCGTCGTTGTACTGACTCGCAGTTCGTACTACATTTGTGAATATGATGAAGACGCGGACAAATTCATCAACTTTCAGCGCATCCCGCTTTCATCAGTTTTTGCGGTTCAAGTAAGTTAGTTTCTGCTGTTTTTGTTTTAGAACGTTGGTTTCTAGCCAGTCATATGATCTAATGTTTAGGATATAGATTTTTAAGCGCTACTGTATCATCGTAACCGTTCGGCATATTCTTCTATCAGCAAGTTTGAATCTGTGTAACTTATGGGTGTCTGTCTATACCTATTTCTGACGTATCCCTTTATGTTAATCCCTCCGCGTATTAACTCATAGTGCTTTGTTAGCACATTATCAAATAATTAACATCAGACGTTAATTCATTACACTTCAGCTGTAGTATATCAACAATAATTTCGTCGAAGCGAGACTGAGAGAAGCCGGCTTTTGTTTTCGACAGCAATAATAACTGTAGAACAAGTACGCCTTAGCATTGTAAACGAAACAATCCATCCACCAAATTGATCGAGTCTGCTGAAGGGAGTATTACGATAAGTTATAATGTTGAAGACTTATTTACTAGTATCTACATTGACCTTAATACGAAATAAAACTAAAAGTAAACTGAAAAATTAAGGCAATTTAACGTTACTGGTAAAGCATACTTTCATATATTTGCATCAGGTTAATCATTGCCGTCCCCTGAGCCTTCGGTCGGTCGGCTGGACAAGAAATGGCTGCTTCGTCTTCCTTTCTGGAGGCATTCGCAAAACGTGCCAAAACCATCGCAGCTGTGACTTCTCAATCTGGAGAAGCAGAGGCTGTACACCAAGGCTCGCCCGGATATCAGTATTCCGGACCATGTCGAGACACGTAAGGCCAGCGACTCGTCTAAGAATGTGCTTGTACCTGGTATAGAAGTTTTTCAGTCATGATACACGACTCATGGCCGTAGATGAGCATGGGTAAGGAGATTGGCTCGAACACCGACAGCTTAATCTTCAGACCCAGCTCTGTTTTAAGCACAACGGTGCAGATTAGTTCACATAGGCCAACGGCTACTCCAATCTGCCGGTCGATCTCTTCCGTTTTCCATCAGCAGTAAATACGAT